AACATTTACAATTAACGACAACTTGGAGCATGATTAAATGTATTATTTAGTTGTTCTATCTTGATATTCTTACCTGTTAATAATTCATATAAGCACCAACAAGAACTACAATGATGGACAGATAAAAATAATTTAGTTTTGTATTTTTAGAGTATACACAGAAATTCACAGATTGATATATTTCAACTATTTTACACGTAAAGATTTTGTATACATTCATAGAAAAACTAAACACGACTTTGCATCTCAGTTATGAAAATATTTTAACTACAATAAGTACAGATATAAAATATTCTCTGCTGACAGTTGGAATGAAATTTTACTGTATAATTTATTCACATACTCCATTGGATGGGACAGTCAACAAACATGATACATTTGAATATTCTTAGAGTATGGATATAGGACATATAAATACAAATACAAATATATATATAATCGAGAGATTCACGATAGACAAGGGCCAAAACTCAGAACCAATGCCAGCCTAATGAAATAGCACTAATATCAAGTGTAAGAAATTGAATTTGAGATTAGCTGATTTCTAAAATCTATATGTAGATAGTTACTAAAAAGACCCTGAGGCACTTGCCTAACAACAAATATATCTCAAATTTATTGTTAGTTATTGGCCCTATGGACAGAAAAGATATAAATGGATAATAATAAATGCTCGTAATGAATTTCCATCTACGGCAAGCCGACGATGAAAGAACATATAGAGAATTGTTTCATTTTTGTTCAATACTTTTTTTTTTTTTTTTAATTTTGTTTGTTTATAAATACTGCGCTCGCAATTTTCTTTTTGTTTTTCTCTCTCTCTCTCTCTTTTCACTTTGGTGCTAAAAACTGTACTCTGCTAACAAATCGTTTAAAACAAATTGAACTTAACTTACCTAATTCTGCCTAACTCTTTGGTCATGTTGAACTTTATTGGCTCACTAGAAATAGTCGCCAGCCGCTGCATACGCCCTGGGACAATGTTGCTCTGCATACTTGCCATAGGCGGTACTCGAACCAACCTTGATGGCCAATTGCTTGGAGTGCTTGTTCCACACGTGCACCAGAAACGAGTCTTTCGTATGGGCCATCGTCTGTTCGAGCAGTTGCGGTTCGAAGAAGTGCCGCCAGTGCTTCCAGGGTACGGCGTAAAATGCATTACGATCGAATACCTTGAAACCACGACAGCGTTTTCGATCCTCTAGCATTAGTGCAATGTCCTTGGTGGCACAAATCTTTTGGGCGACACGCGTTATAACACCAGGTCCATTGTTACCCCAGTCACTGCCATCGAAATTCCTTTGGAAATCCTGCAGACACGCCTCGGCAATCTCATGGCCAAAGCCAGTTGGTGCCAGGCTCATGACACCAGCGGCCAAATGAGTATTTGATTCGGCGCCAGTATAGTTGGGCGGCACATCCTCCATGCTGCGCAGCATAACTACATCCATATCTAAATAGATGCCACCATACCGGTATAGAGTTAGAAATCTCAAAAAGTCTGATATATGCGAGAAGAGATAGCTGAATATAGAAAACAGTTCATTTAATTATACATTAATGGAATATAAATTCAAGCTCACCTTGAACGAAACAGGCGTCCATCCTTTAGCCATTCCTCAATGGGCGTGCCGGCTGCATACCGCCAAAGATTTAATTGTCGTAGATGTACGTTTTTATAGCTAAGAATGGCATCGATAATCGACTGATGGCGCTGATAGCCACTGCTGCCGCCTGTGCTGCTGTTGCCATAATGTAGATAGGTGGGACTAGCAAATAGGACAAAAACTTGAAAATTCGGATTGTGCAATGCGGCCGATTCAATGGCGCAGGCCTGTCGAGCCGTCAACTGCAACATATTGTACTGTGAATCAGGACGCTGTCTTTTGCGTTTCGGCCGATGGCAGCTGGTCTCATGAAAAAAAATGCTGCGTCCAGGTATTGGCTTTGGCTCTGTTGTTAGCACATCGTCCAAAATTCTTGGCACTGGCGCATTGCCATCTGTTACTGGACCACTGGATGCCGATTCTGCCGGCTCGGTCTCAATGAAGCAGAGCTGTACATTTGTTTGCCATCTATATGTTAGCAGTATGCCCATCAAAAGCAAAAGCATTAGCCCCAGGAACAGCATTCGCAGCCGTCCATTGTTCAGAAAGCGCGCTAGCACCAGGGGCAAGCGTAGTAACATAATGAACGGGTGCCTAACACCTACACACGCATGCATGCACACACACACACACAACAGACGCAGACGAACGCAGTGTAAAATACATAAGGGGAAAAAAAGAAGAAATCACTGAGTTATTGTAAACATGTTAACATCTGATTGATCCAATACTTACTTAATGTTTATTTAAACAAACTCATTCTGTTATCATTGCTTGACAGTTGCGCAAACAATATGTACATATGTATAAAACGAATAAATGGCCCATATGGAGACGCAAATTGACAAGGAAAGCTATTAAATTAAGCTAAGAAATTGTTTCGTTTAGTCTCTGTAAATATACATAGATGAATCTCTAGCCATAAATGTATGTAGTTTTTGTTTTTTTACACTAAGCTAATAGCTTTTATTAATAAGGCAATAACAACTTTTCAAACAGAACCGAATGAGTAAATTCTTCGATATGAGCAATTACCAAATTATATTAACAATTCATTAGTACAACAGAACTAGAAAAAAAGCAGTCGTCTAAGTGGATTTGTTGTTTTGCAACGATAATAAAGTTTCTGCACAATGAATAATGATATTACTCATTTAATTATATATTTAACGAATAGAATTTGTCCAACAGATCCTAATGAGTAAAGTCATAAAATTATCGTTTCACAATTATGGAACATCGATAGTCTCAAGATGAATACGTCATGCCTTTTGATTATCGATAAAATACATATATCGTGTATTGTGGTCACCCTAAAGAACAAAACATAAAAAGTGCAGCAAAAAATGATAAATATCGTTAATAGTGTTATAAAGAACACTTCTTTTAAATATTAACAAACACATATTTATTAAACCAAACAAACCAGGAACTGTAAAGTAGTGTAACTAAGATTAATTTTATTAACTCAAATCTAAACATCTAAAACAATTATAATTCATTTAAGTGAAAAAAAAAATCTTTCTGAAGAAGTTACCGGAATACATAAGTATTTTTATCTTTATGCCACCAAATTAAACCAATTCAAATTTTACAAAATTTAGCATACTTTAAGAAAACCAACGCCAAGAGTAGCAATTTTTTCGATATATCGATGCTGATACGATATTGATCTGATATCTCTGCAGCAAATAGACGAGTAAATCTGCCACCAAAAAAGTAAAGGGTGCTGCTGATAAGAAATTATCGAAGGCTGTGCTGACCAAAAAGAGCACCGACAAAAAGAAAGCGGACAAAACAAAGGCCAAAGATGCWAAGAAAGTAGGAAGCATTAAAGCAAAGCCCACAACAGCAAAGGCGGCAAAGTCAAGCGCAGCAAAGCCAAAGAC